GTGGCACCCCATCTTTGGAATGAACTCCCCCTGTCCCTGCGCTCTCTGGACTCGGTGGATATCTTTAAAAAGCAGCTAAAAACACACCTGTTTTCACTAGCCTTCCAAAGCACATAGCCTGTTATTTTATTCCCTTATTTATTATAGCTTTTATTGCATTTTATCTGTTTTTACTTGTGTTGTTTTTATGTTATCATGCGAAGCACTTTGTGACTTTGTCTGTGAAAAGTGCTATACAAATAAAGTTTACTTACTTACTTTCTGTTTAAAGCCGGGCGTACAGACAGTTGTTGCACGCAGCTACAGCTAACGCTGTATGACAAAATTGCATGGTTTAAAAGTTCACAGCTGACGATGTTTGTTCTCACACTGATGCTATCTACCTGCTCACACTGTACGTCTGAAAACCAGGTGGGTCTCAGCTCCGCAGTGAGATGGTGCTACTCGGACTCGTCTATCCGGAAGCCAAACCAGTAGAAGAGGAACATGAAGCTCACTAGAGTGAAATGCGCTGCCTTGGTAATTTGTGCAATTTTGTTCTGAAAGTCCTAAAAAGAAAAGGCAACGACGTATTTGGACAAAGACATGGCTGAGCTAACCTGGCTACTACGGTCTGTTAGTTTGACAGAAAGAACTCCATTTCACTCATTGCACCCCTGCCATGCTGCTGGGTTTACATCTGAGAGGAAGAAGAAGAAGAATCCTTTACTGAGCGATTTGCCTACGACCACCTTAGGACGGCCGACTGAATTTCTAACATGTTTCACATTATGATTCCTGATGGGGAGATGGTCCTTCGAGGCTGATTGCCCCTCGTTACCCCCTGGACACTACATGACACCAATCAGGCTGAAAGTCGGGCCCGATCGAAAAATTCTCGCAGGACTGGAAGCTCGGCCCGAAAAGGGCAAAAATCGCACTGTGTATGCCCGGCTTAAGTTTATTTTTAGTTTCTTTGTATTTGTAGTTGTTTTCAAGCAGTGTTTTGCTCTTGAGTTACACTTTGTTCAGCCTTTGTGTTTGTTTCCTTTCCCCTTGGCTTCCTTCTAGATGCTTCCATCCACACCTGCTCCCAATCAGCTCATTAGTCCAGTCTTTGTTCTGTCTCCCACATTTATTCTCCCTGTGCATTTCCTCAGTACTGCCTCCTCATCTTTTCCTGGCTCCCCACATTCATTTTTCCCTGAAATAACTTTTTTTTGTTTTTCCACTTTTACCCGAAGTATTCCACCATCCAACTGTTCAGTGTTTTTAATTCAGAGTAATTTTCATGTGAATGTGCTTTACTGGAGGCATCCATGTTTGTCAAAGAACACTACTGCCACCTACTGGTTAGTGACATTGTCACGGTGCGGTATCGGCTGTTGATCAAGTCCCAGTGCTGTATCTGGTGTTTGTCACAACGCGCTATTATCCAAGTCATCTTGAAAACATTCTTCTTCCAAATGTTGGCTACATATTACGGGTTTTTTTCTCTGGCCAGAAGTTCGATGGCAAATCCTCCCTCTTCAAGTTGGCGATCCAACGACCAACCCGTCCGTGGAGGATCAGGAATCAGAAAGGTGGAATAACTCTTTTTTTCCACTTTTACCCGATGTATTCCAGCATCCAGCTGCCATGCACGTGGGCATTGTCAGTTTCACTATAGCTCTGGTGAATTTCAATGGTGAAGTCCTCTGGAAATCTTCAATAATTGTTGTTGATTGCAGATGTGTCTAGTAGTTCCCATTGATTTAGCTTGGAAAGCGGGGAGAATGGCGCTAGGCTTACCGCACCGTGACGTCACTGCTGGAAGATGGCAGGAGGGAGGGGCTACTAGATTTCGACAAAAATGGCCGCTCCCAGACTCAGTGAGCGTGACAAAAATGTTTGTTCATTTTTTACTAATTAATGCTAAATGAATTAAATCACAGCAAATGTATTAGTTTTTAGGTATGAATAATGATCTGTTGATTAATCCTTGCTGACCGCACTTCTCCTTTAAAAACCATTTTTGATTAGAGGTGCCTTTGACTGTTGGAGTTAAACTTTTAACTGAGGTATTATTAGCTTAAGGTTGTAGTTCAACTGTTTTTATTTGGTTTACTACCTGATTTTATTACATTTTTAATCTTTACTTTCTTTTATCTGTTGCTTTTATTTTGTTGTTTAATTCTTATAAAGCACAGCTGTCTTTGCACTGAACTGCCCTGTAGAAATAAACTTGGCTTGTCTTTAAATATCTCATCAATAGTTGCAAATGAAAACTGTGTTTTGTGTCTTAATCAAACGTTTTGGTTTTTTTTGGGTTCTTAGCTGATTCGTCTGAAGCTTTTCCTGCTGTTTCTTCCACCTCACTGTAAGCCGTTATCTGGACTGATCAGGCTCGATCCGTACTCAGACTGGGGCGATAAAGGCAGCTAACGGTTGTGAAGTAAACCCAGAGCAGCAATGATCGCCTGATCAATCTGTTCAGGCTAATCCAAACATGCCCGGCGGGAAGTTCGCTGTACAGTACATGAGGAGTAAAAGGGGGTTTAGGGAAGGATTGGTCTCTGATAACTGGAAAATAAACAAAACAACATATAAGGTGGTCGACATTTGTAGCCTTTCCATTTGTGGTTTATTTAGAGAGATTTGGTGTTTGGGATCAAGAAGACACTAAAAATCGCTGGAAAGTATCGGATGATGCGGATAGGCACCACCTGCAGTCTGATATCCAGGGAGATTATTTGAAAGAACAGGGCAGAGCAGCACCAGAAACCTGCATTAGGGCAGAACCATTCATTATGCTGCATGAGTGTGTTACACAATCTGAGCTGACTGTATATGTTTGCATTAGAAGTACAGTCTGGAGCAATCCAGGCTTAGAATTGGCTTTTAAAGCCTCCAGCATCTCTGTGCTGCAGTTTCTACCACACAGTCCCACAAGGAGCAGGTATGCAGGCTGGAGGCTGACTGGAGACGTGACTCCGGTGGATTCCATGAATCTGTTCCTGCATCCGTTAAAAGAGGAACAAATGTTTACCTATTCTACATGTCTCATTTGTCCAAACGGGAAGCAGTAAAGAACCTTGTGTTTTATGGAGAGGAATCTGTTCCAATATTATCGAAAGCAAAGAGTATTTTTTTAAAAAGAGAAATTTTAAGAGAAGGCGTTTAAAAAATCTGACCTTGAAACATTTCCTAATCAACAAAAGAAGTGAGTTTGAGAGAAAGGAAAGTTCAACCAATATTCTTACAGTTTTATATTTTTTCAGATTTTGTTATAAAAGCTATATTTGTTCTTCTTTTTTTCTTTTTCTTCAGCTTCGATTTTATCGAAGTTCTTTCACTACAATTTTTTAACATTTGTGGGAAGGAGACCTATATGGAGCTAAATTTGGTCCACAAAATTTGTTGGTAAAATTTATCCTGGAAAAAAAAAAAAAAAAAAACTACTTTTCAGAATTATTTTGTTTTACTTTCAGGTGACAGATGTGGAACCAGAACCACAGTTTTCCAAAAAAGTAAAAGTAAAACAATCCACTGGACTTTAAACCCAAGTTTGAAGACGTTTCGCTTCCCATCCAGGAAGCTTTTTCAATTTAAAATGTCAGAAATAGCGTTAAGTTCAAGGCTTTATAGAGTTCAACGCTCTGGCTGAACGGCCTATTCCCAGCTGCTGCATTCAGGGACCATCGGTCCTGGAAATGTCTTTAAAACATCATCAATATTAGGTGTAATAATAATACGGTAATAAATATAATTTGTAATAACTTTTTTTTATGTACTTTTTTTTCAGGTGATTTACTGCCAACCATGGGGGGGATTTACCATTAGGCAATACTAGGCCGTTGCCTCGGGCCCCAAGTTCCTGGGGGCCCCATAAAACTCTGTTTCCATGTATGGTTAATACAACTATCCCTTATTTGTGCACATTAATTATATTTCTGATAAAACTCCTGTGGCTAAAATGCCATCAGAACGCTGATAATATTAAGTGTGTCTCAGCCCCCCCCTTCAGTGTCCACCATATTGGATCAGTCCATTTGCTGCACATGTTCAGAAAGGTCCAAACAGACAGCAGCAAACCATTTGAAAACAAACCATGCAAAGAGCAGTGTTGCCAACTTAGCGCTTTAGTCGCTATATTTAGCCACTTTTCAGACCCCTCTAGCACTTTGATTTCTAAAAAGCTCCTAGCGCCAAATCTAGAGACTTTTTTCTGCTACTGGAGACTTTGGAGACAACATCTAAAAGCAGCGAACTCTGCTCTCCAGAGCGAGTAGATTGGTAACCCCGCCTCCTGCTCTCCTCTATCTTGTCTGCTGTCATGATTCATGCAGCTATTATTTCATCCAAATGAAAAATGGAGAACAGATAAGCAGATCATGGCTTGTCTACAGTGAAAAGTAGGACTGGGTTATTTACTTTGGCCTTTTTGGAAACACAGGAAGGAGCAATCAGCTAAGTGAGCTTAGTGCTTGGAAAAAATCTTTCATTCCTTTAGAGGCAGCATGAAAAGTCAGCTGAGTACAAAACATAGAGAGGAAAACAAGAAGAAAAGGGACAAGAAGAGAGGGACACAACCTAGAACAGATAATGGATGTCTATTCTATTAACATTTCTCTATCTGAAGAATGTGTCTGTTTGATGTGTTGTCTTCTAGATTCAGAGGGGCCCCCTGCCTGTCTTTGCCTAGGGCCCCAAATTTCCTAAATCCGCCCCTTCTGCCACCAACCAGTTAGGAAGAGAGCAGCTTTAATCAAATCATCCCACTTGTAAATTTGTGAGTTGTTGAAACCTGACTTTTTATTTTTTAATCTAAAAATAACATTTTTTTTCAGATGGAAGTCAAGTTGCCACCAATTGAAGCCTATTTTCTGGTTGCTGTGACCCAGAGGAAGAGAAAATAACATTTTATTTCTGTCTGAGGTGATGCTCCGTTTTTCTGCAGCCTAAACACAACTAATGACATCATTGATCTCAAGTTCACCGCCCTTCCTCCACCAGCAGAGGTCACTGTTTGACCCTTTGCTCGTGACGTACGTCTGACGTAGAAGGAAGAGCAACAACAGACCGTAGCAAACAGCTTGTAGCTAACCTCCGTTAGCTGACTGCAGATGTTTATCAGCAGAATCTGGTTTCAGAGAAGCTTTGGTTGAAGGATTGGAGCCAGAAAGGGGCGGGAAGGTGAGTCAGACCCATTTGATCCATTTCCGGTCAATAAAACTAAAAACCGCTGATTTCATCTTTCTAAGCTTCTGGTTGCTGTTTAGGAGGAATTTAAATGGTCAGAAATGTTCCTTAAGAAGGAGCGCGGCTGTCATGTAGATCATTCTAATAGAAAAGCTTCATGGTGTTTTTATTAAAGATCAGCTGACAGGAGGAAGTTCTACTTTCATTTCCTTTTCCTGCTTCTCATCTAAAGCTTCCTCTGAGCTTCCAGCAGGTTTCCTTCAGTCAGGGGCGTTGCTAGGCACAAAGCTTTACTGGGGCACTGGCCCCCTACCGCATATGCCCCTCCTTCTTCCATACACAAATACAGACAAGCACACTGCCCCACCCTGATACATTCCTACCAAAATTACCAGTTGAGATATTAATAAGTATAAGAGCATATTTGCTTGAACAAACATGAACATTTTCATCATTGCAGCTATAAAAAATAAGACATCAACAACTTTGACAAATAAAAAGTTTCCTTATACACATTCTGAAGTAATCATTAATTCCTAGGTTTCAGAGTTTTAGTTCAGGGGAAAGTTTAACTCATCCTGAACTAAGTTTTTCTTTTATTTTTTGAGCATTAAAGTGTACCTCCTATTTTTCATTTTTGCAAAGCGGTCAATCACTAGACTGTGACTCAGCTTAGAAAGTTCTTCCTTTTCAACTGATAAAATAGCCAGATGATGGAGCCTGTCTGGTCCCATTGTGCACCTCAGCCCAGTGTGGATCCTTCTCAACACACTGAATGACCTTTCACAACTCCAGCTGTAGACTGGGATTGTGAGGGAGATCTGGATGATCTGCGTTAGTGTGGGGAACACGATGTTATCAAGCAAGTTGAAAACACACTGCATATCCTTGATGACAAGGCTTTCTTTTTCAACCAGGAACAGTTTTTAAACCATTTTGAATTAACGTTTTTTTACTCCAAATTTGTCCTGGGGATAGTGGGACAACTTCACTTGTTTAGGACCATCATGCTTTCCCCCTAAGTCACTAATGTCCCCTTCTTGTTTGTGGAAGCTGGTTGTTGCATCCTCATCACCTTCATGGTCCTGTCTCTCTCCTGTCTCTCTCCTGTCTCTTGCCTGTCAGTCTCTCCTCCTCCTCCCTTTCCTACTCCAGCACCTTCATTCTCATCCTCTACAGGAAACATTAAAAAACGTAAATTTATAATTATGTAAATATCTATCATATTGCTTATAACGTTCCTAATGTAACTGCTTAGCTTAAATCACTAATTCCTCACGGGACCTTACCTCCCTCTCTCATCTTGTTTTACTGCTTCCCTGTCTCTGCTTCATGTGAGGAATTTCCTGATATCCATCTACAAACCAGTGCAGTAATTTTCAGTTAGTAGCCTATAAATCATGTGGTTTCACTGGGAAAATAATAACATTAACAGGTAAGAAACGTTACCAGAACTAAAAATGCGTCGCGGCCGCACAGTGTCCCATCCAACTCAGTGGAGAGCAGCGTGTTAGTTTACCTGCAGTTCATGCAGTGACATGCGCTGACGTGGGGGCGCTAATTCATCCTCAATTTGGAGTTACCAACACACTTGCTGCGAATTTGAGTAGAAATATACGTCTCCTCCCGTTGGAATTATCTAAATTGATGCATTAAAAAAAATGTCATACTGTTGCAAATATTCACGAGATTTATACTGGGGCACAGCTCATTTATACTGGGGCACGTGCCCCAGTAAATGGGGTCTGGCGACGCCGATGCTTTCAGTCATCCAGGAAGGAGCAGGAAGTCAGGGAAGGAAACAGAGAGAAAATCCTCTTCCTCTGTTTTCATTGGTCCATTAAGGACAACAAAGCACCAGCCTGTCCCCCAGTCTGTCCCCTGATCTGTCCACCAGCCTGTCCACCAGTCTGTCCGCAAGCCTGTCCACCAGTCTGTCTACTGATCTGTCCAGCAGTCTGTCCACCAGCCTGTCCACCAGCCTGTCCGCAAGCCTTTCCACCAGACTGTCCCCCAGTCTGTCCACCGATCTGCCCAGCAGTCTCTCCACCAGCCTGTCCCCCAGTCTGTCCACCGATCTGTTCCCCAGTCTGTCCACCAGCCTGTCCCCCAGTCTGTCCACCAATTTGTCCCCCAGTCTGTCCACCGATCTGTCCCTCAGTCTGTCCACCGATCTGTCCCTCAGTCTGTCCACCGATCTGTCCATCAGTCTGTCCACCGATCTGTCCACCAGCCTGTCCCTCACTCTGTCCCCCAGCCTGTCCACCAATTTTTCCCACAGTCTGTCCACCATCCTGTCCCCCAGTCTGTCCAACAACCTGTGTACCAGTCTATCCACTAGCCTGTCCCACAGAATGTCCCCCAGCCTGTCTACTAGTCTGTCCCCCAGCCTGTCCACCAGTCTGGCCTTGCAGACGCGATCTCACTGGAAGTAGAGTCAGGAAGCCTTTGCCTGACGCTGACGCTTACCCCACATGCTACAGACGTTGGAGAAGCCTCCGCCTCTGTCCCGCCTCCAGCCGACGTCTTCGCTTATGAATAAGGAGCTGTCAGTCAAAGGCTTCCTGATACTACTGCCCCTGTGATCTGTGAGCTACTGGGACTCGTCTATCTGGAAGCCAAACCAGTAGAAGAGGAACATGAGGCTCACTAGAGTGAAACGCGCTGCCTTGGATATTTGAGCAATTTAGTGCTGAAAGCCCTAAAAAGAAAAGGAGACGACGTATTTGGACAAAGACATGGCTGAGCTAACGTGGCTACTACGGTCTGTCAGTTTGACAGAAAGAACTCCATTTCACTCATTGCCCCCCCGCCATGCTGCTGGGTTTACATCTAAGACCATGACCACCTTAAGACGGCCGACTCAATTTCAAACATGTTTGATTTACTCTCGACCTTATGATTCCTGATGGGGGGGGGGTGGTCGTTAGAGGCTGATTGCCCCTCGTTACCCCCTGTACAGCTACACCACGCACCATCAGGCTGAGAGTTGGCCCGATCGAAAAATTCTCGCACGGCTGGATAGTCGGCTCGAAAAGGGCAAAAAATGGTACAGTGTACGCCGAGCTTTACTAACAATGTCAGAGTCAAAACAAATTACAGCCACTTGGGTTAAACAGTAACATGTTATGAATAAACCTTGAGAAATAATCAGGTCTGTTATGGGAAGAAGCTACGTCTGGTCTAAAAACAGCCTCATGCAGGGGAATCCTCCGGCCTTGCAGGAGAAACAGGCGCACTGAAAACTTTAATAGTGAGTAAATAGCATAAATGAACATAACAGAAAATACAAACCGTTGCTACGGATGGTAACAAATGTTACAGAACATGGTTCTTGATTTTGAATTATCTGGTCCTGGAAAGTCCTTGAACTCAATGTGAGGTTTGGGAGCTCTGACTTGGGTCTCTGCTTGATGGCGCAGGTGAACAGAAGGAGTGCGGCGGAGCTCCGAGGGCCGCCGCCATGTCTTCCGGCTGCCCCCCCCAGTCGCCGGCTGTAGAAAAGACGGAGGTAGCGGTGGAGGGAGAATGCCCCCTGCTGGCTGCGACCTTCGCCTACTGGGACAACATCCTGGGCCCCCGGGTTCACCACATCTGGGCTCCCAAGGGCGATCAGCTGATGCACCTCAGCGACGGAGAGGTCACCTTCCTGGCCAACCACACGCTGAACGGAGAGATCCTCCGCAGCGCGGTTGTTGCGGAGCCGTGGACGTGTAGTTCATTCGTGCTGGCTGGTTGGGCGTCATCATAGGTGTCCTGTTCTTCGACTGCGAGTGAAGGGTGCGGATTCTGGTCTACGGTGCGACATGTATGGCAGAATGACGATGTACGAGCTGGCATTCTTCCCGGAAGCGGATAGACGGAGGAGGGAGTGAGGCCGGTTTGCTAGGATGCTGTATTTGGGGAGGTGCGGGTAGGATGTTGGGGGAGGGGTAGAAGAGGAGAGGATCTCTATGAGGGATATAAGGGCGACAGTGGGAAGAGGAAGGAAGAGGAATGTGATATTATGAATGAATGAAGGAATGAGGGATGATGAATAGATGAAGGAATGAATCGGAATGAATTATTGAAATGAATGAATGAAGGAATGAAGGAATTGCTGAATGATATGAATTGATAGATGACTGTAGGAATCGATGAATGAATGAATAGAATGAATGAATGAATGAATGAGGAACTGGAGTGAATGAATGAATGAAATGATGAATGGAAGGATGAAGGAATGGGATGAATGATGAATGAATGAAAATGCATGAATTATGAATGAAGAATGAAAATGTAAGAGAATGAAGGAATGATGAATGAATGAATGAATAGATGAAATGAAGGAATGATGACATGGGAAAGGAATAGATGAATGAATGAATGAATGAAATTCTATGACTGAATGAAGAGAATGATGAATGAATGAATGAAGGAATGATGAATGAATGAATAGATGCATGAAATGAATTATGAATGAAAGAATTGAATGTTGAATGAATGAATGAATGAATGAATTATGAACTTGAATGGAATGAAATTATGAAGGAATGAATGCATGCTTGCCATCGAATGGAATAGTGAATGAATGGAATGAATGAATGAATTATGAATGAACTGAATGAAATGAAGGAATGAAGGAATGTTGAATGAATGAATAGATGAATGAATGAATGGAAGGAATGATGATATGGAATCGAATAGATGAAATGAATGAATGAAGGAATGGATGATGATGAATGAATGGATTATGTAATGAATGAATGATGAATGAATGATGTAATGAATGATATGTATGAATGGAATGATTGAATGAAATGAATGAATGAATAATGAACTGAAAGAATGAATGATGAATGAATGATGAATGAATGACATGATGAATGGATGAATGAATGAATGATGATCTGATGAAACTCGCAATGAATGAATGATGAATGAATTGATGAATGATGAATGAATGACTGAATGATGAATGAATGAATGAAATGAATGATGCATGAATGACCTGAATAATGAATGAAAGAATGAGGATGAATGAATGAATGAAATGATGAATGAATAATGAATGATGAATGATGAATGACATGGAATGAATGAATGAAGGAATGATGAATGAATGAATGAATGAATGAATGAATGAAGGAATGATGAACTGAATGAATAGATTCAAATGAATGAATGAAGGAATGATGAATGAAGGAAATAGATGAATGCATGACTGAATGACATTTTGAATGAATGAATGATGATCTGAACTGATGAAGAATGAATAATGAATGAAAGAATGATGATGATGACTGGATGCAATGAATGATGAATTGATATGAATGAATGATGAATGAATGAATGATGAATGAATGAATGAATGATGAATGAATCGAATGAATGAATGACGGAATGATGAATGAATCGAAATAGATGAATAAATGAATGAAGGAATGATGAATGAATGAATAGTATGAATGAATGTATGAATGAATTTATGAATGAATGAATGATGTCAATGAATTGACAGATGTAATGAATAATGATGAAAAGAATGAATGATGAATGAATCAATGAAAGAAAGAATGAATGATGAATGATGAATGACTGAATGATGAATGGAATGACGGATGAATGAATGCAATGGTGATAATGATGAATGATGAATGATCGAATGATAATGAAATAAAGAACTGATCGCAATGACATTGCACCTACTATGATTAATGAATGAAAAGAAGATGAATTGATATGAATTGCAGATGAATGATGAATCATGAATTTGGGAATGCAACTTTGATCGCAATGAAATCCATGAGAATCGAATGAAAATGATTGACTGAATGAACCTGACGGAAACCTGAATGCACACTGTAAGTGATTTGAATTGAATCGACACTTTGAATGACAATAGAATGATAAACAGCGAAATGAACTGAACTGCAATGAATATGACAAATGAATTATAGAATGAATGATGAATGAATCGATTATATGTAATGAAGGCATGATGAAAATGGAATGAAAGAAGTCCATGACTTATGAACATTGAAGACATAGAATTAGACAATTATGAATGAATCTGCGAGACATGGATGAATGAATCTGAATAGATGAATGAAAATGATGAATGCCACATGAAAAACTGCATGGATGAAATGAATAATGAAATGCAATGAAAAGATGAATGAATGATTAGTAATTGAAATTCATATCGTAAATGAAGGAAATCGATGACACTGAATGACATAACGAGGAATATGAAAATGATGAATGAGAATGGATTGAATGATTAAAATGAAATGGAAATGATTGAATGTCGAATGAATGAATGAAATTATTTTGAATTTGAATGAATGTCAACGGATATGACTGAATGTATGAATGATATCATTATGATGTGAATGAGATGAATGAATGAGCATATCTGCATTTAATGAAAATGAAGGAATGATCGACTGATATGTAAATGATAGAAATGAATTATGAATCGAAATTGAAGAGAATGAAGGAAATGACTAGAATGATATTGTATGAATTATCGAATGTGATATGGAATGAATCTATGACATACTCTAGAAGAATGTAATATGAAATAATGAAATAGAAAGAAATTGAATGATGAATACCGTGAATGATGAATGAATGAATTGAAATGAATGAAATAGAATTATGAACTAGAAGGAATGATGCAATGAAGGAGAAATCACTAGCTTGAATGAATGACAGCCGAATGAAGGAATGATAGAGAATGGAATGCTAATTAAGATGAATGACTGAATGGAAAGGGAATGCATGGAATGAATGCACTCGAATGATCAGAAGGACTGAAGAATGAAATGAATAGATGAACTGAAATGGATAACTTGAAATGAATTCATTTGAATCGGCACTGCCCACTGCTTGAAAGAATGAATGATGACTGAATGGATGAATGAATGAATGATTGAACTTGAATGAATGATGAATGAATGAATTATTGAATGAATGAATGTGAATGAATGATGAATGCAATGAATGAATGATGATGAAATGAATGAATTATGAATCGGAATGAATGAAGGAATGATGAATGTTAATGAATGAATGATGAATGACTTTGAATGAATAGATGAATGGCATGAATGATATTAGATGAATGAATGAATGAAGGATGATGATGAATGAATGAATGAATGAATGATGAATGAATGAATGATGAAATGAATGAATGATGAATGAATGAATGAATGAATGATGAATGAATGAATGAATGAATGAATGAATGAATGATGAATGAATGATGAATGAATGAATGAATGAATGAATGAATGAATGAATGATGAATGATGAATGAATGATGAATGAATGAATGAATGAATGAATGAATG